TAATTTAAAAATATGAATTATTATATTAAAATATGAATATTTATTGAAGATCAATTTTTTGTTCTGCAGTAGAACTTTGTAGAACTTTTTCCAGTTATCCTACGACCCTTTGGTACCCTTGAGGGTTAAGCTATGTACGCGTAATCTTGCTTTGAACAGAAGATGGAAGTCGCTTCTGCGGCTACTGTTGGGATAGTCGATAGGAAACGGGACTTTGACTGGTGGGTAGCCCCTGCTGTCAGGGTGTTTGCTTTGCCGCGACAGACTGGTCGTGCAGGGGGTCCGGCCCAGGGGTTGGGGTCACTTCGCTGCCGGCGTCGGCGGCGGCACGTTGACTTTATCCAAGCTAAATTGAGCATTTGCTGCGAATTCGAATGTGCCTCAAAATGTGCACTACGATGTCACGCATAACAGCCACGTGACTTGCTTGCCTTGCTGTTGTTGTTGTTGTTGCTATTGCTGCTGCTGCTGCTGCTGCTGTTGCTGCTGGCTCATTGTCTGGCTGTTGTTGTCCGAATGGCTATTCTGTTGCTGTCTCTGTTACGCCGCCCACAGCAAGTACAGCCCAGGCGCGTGTGTTAGTCGCGGCAGAGCTGATCACAAACAGCGACAATAGTTTGCGTGTGTCTATAGATACATGCATGTGTATGTATGTATGTATGTATGGCTGTTGGTATGTATTTACCCACTGGCTGTTTGTTCCATAATAGAAGGTGCACATAACGCATACAGCCCATTGGCTTATGCACGCGATGTGGCAGCCTTTTAGGCGTTGCCATCTATTTTTAGCTGCAGCTGGCCAATTACAAAAGAGCTATCGAACTGCAATTAATGAATATCGATAGACGGTGGCACGAGTGTCGGGAAGGGGGAAGGAGATAGAGGATGTGAATGAGGAGGAAGAGAGAAGAGCATGCAGATGACAGCTCTATTTATGTGAACATGTGCCGCAGGAAGAATCAAGTAACTGCTATACGACGAAAATTCGCTTAATGCCGCATGCAACAACAAAGCAGCTTACAATTCGTTTGCCATGTGCATTGGCAATGCGTGTCGAATCGGATGCAATATTATTCAATTTATATATATTTTCTATACCCTGAACCCATTTTCAATGGGAAATCAGGGTATAATGGTTTTGTTAAAAGTATGTAACAGGCAGAAGGAGGCGTGGCAGACCCCACAAAGTATATATATTCTTGATCAGGGCGACGAGCTGAATCGATTTGGCCTTGTCCGTCTGTCCGTATGTTTAAACGCGTCGATTTCNTTTTTGTATATCTAGGATCCAATTCTTTGCCTTTAGGTCTTCGAACATTTATATTTGAGTCATTCTCAAAGAAATTTTTGTTTGTTTCATCACTCCAGAGAATGTTCCTCCATTTACGCTCTCCCTCTAAACCACACCAGGCCTTGTGAGTTTGAGCAAAATTAAGCCTCATCCGAATATTTGATTTACGCAATAGAGAAACCCTGCGAGCAACTCTCCCAGGTAGATTCGAGCTTAATAGAAGTCGACGAATAGTTCGTGCCGATACAACATTGCTCATTTCGATGGCAATCGCTCTCGAAGACTTAAAAGGATCCCTTTTAGCCAAGGTGACTATCCGGGAATCCTCTCTTACGGTGGTTTTCCTCCGGGCACCCGGCTTCTTTTTATCTTTTTTTGGTTTTAGAGCATTTGTAACGAAGTTTTCCGATCGTCCCATTAGTGAGGCAATGCATTTATAAGTTTTACCCTTTTCACGAAGCTTGAGAACAAGATTTCTCTCTTCAGC